CTAATAGTGGCTTCTGGCTGGTGCGGCAAGGTAATAAGTGGGTCTGTGTTTTCTCTGCAGAGCCCAGAGTAGGCAGCCCCAGGTCTGACTGTGGGTTTCTTTGTCTTACCCAGGTCACCTTGAGGCAGGGCTGGGCCATGCTTCCTTATCACAAGGAAAATTTTATAGTACCCAACTTCTTGGTGCCATAGCCAGGTAGGTTTCTATTTGGTGCCATTGTCTGATTTCCATATACCCTGGCCTCATGGCATGGGTTGGGTGCTTGGTTTGAGTTCAGTTGTGGGCCAGGGTTAGAATCCCATGCCCCTACTTGACTATATTGTGACCATCACCAATTCAGGGTGGGATAAGTCCTGCTGATTCTGTTTTAGGATCCAGAGTCTTGGGGAAGTTCTGTGTCTATCACAGATTCAAGCCTGGATTAAGCCAGCAGCTCCTGCTTGAATCCCCCCTATTTTCTTTGCTTTTTATGTTTCACTATTAATTTTAGTATTATTATCAACTATAATTTCTACATCATTCTTCTATTATTTACAGTTTACCTTCATATTCATTCTTTAGTTTATACTTTAATAAATTTCTCATATTCTATTCTCTATCTCATATTTTTCCTTTTTTTCCCTTCCATACCTTCTATTTTATTATATTGTTGATATTATCATTATTATTATTACTATTATCATCATCTTCATCATTATTTTAGTTTCTTAATTTAGATTTAGTAGTTTGTGCTACACTATTTTGCTTTTTTCTTTTCTATGGTACTACTAGTGATTTTCATTCCTGTTTTCAGCTGGTGTTAGTGCTCCGACAGCATTCTTTCATGAATGGTACTTGAAAATCATCCAACAAGAGAAGGGTGCTGAGTAAAAAGACCACTATATAAAACCACAACAGATAACTAACCCCAAGTGCACAGAAAATGACATTGTAAGTCCAGAATTTGAGACTCTTAGAAATATTTACATCTTCAATGAATAGATTTGAAGATACAGATGTGCTTAAAATGTCAGATAACAAATTAAAAACTCAGCAATGGGCTTACATAAGATTGACCCTAACAACTATCAATAATGGACAAGAGCAAGACTCATCTAGAGTCAGTTCTCCTTGCTGAACTCCTGGCTACTGGTGAACTCTGGGGAGGGTCAGTCATTGTCCTCAGTTATGACCTAACAAGGAGCTTATGAGGCTTCAGTAGATGGTTACAAACCCATAGAAACAGAGGATCCTTGTGAAACTCAGTGGATATCATCAAAAACAAAAAAGATCAAAGGCTACAAAGAGAATTAAATAGTCAAACAAATGAAGTAGAGGAGTTGAGTCTAGACTCGGATTAGGATCTCAGTAAAAAGGATATGCTAAAAGAAATACAAATGGAACTCTCCTAAGTTAAACATTTAATAACTCAACTGAAAACCCAATGGAACACACCAATAGACTAAACTAGCTTAAAGAATGAAGAATGGTACAACAACAGAAATTAAAAACAGAACTGAGGAGCTGTTCTGTTTATATGACAATAAGAACTCATCATGACTGCAACATGTAATGCTTTTGGGACTGCAATTAATGACTGTGAACCTGTGTTTTAGAAATTTGAGTCAAAATATGAACTAGAGGCATAGAAAACCTACTGATTGTAGAGACAATAAAAACAGAGGAGATTTCTGTGCATGTCTGACCCATCTAAGTGGGTGGATTGTGTCAAGATGAAGCTGAACATCTATCTCCTCAGCAGTAACCAGGTGCCAGAAATTCATTGAAGGTCTGTAAATTTCTATGATGAATACAAGTTCACAGAAGGAGATGCTGATGCTCTGGGTGAAGAATGAAAGGATTATGAGCTCCAAATTACTAAGGGGAAGATTTCCCCCCTTAAGCAAAAAGTCTAGATGCTTTGCAGAGTGTGCCTCCTGTTGAGTGAGGGACATTCTTACTACAGAACAAGGAGTTGTGAGCAGTTCGCCCTTCCAGAGAGATGGTGCTAATGTAATTCTGTCATTTTGCAGTGTCATGGGGTTCTGAACTTTGGTTACCACACCCAGTCACAAGCTTAGTTTCTTTTTTTTTATTAATTATGAAAGCTTGGCCTTAGCTTAGTCTTGATCCTAACTAGTTCTTTTTTTGAAAGTAATTTTATTAAATTATAAAAGTTTCCATTTATGCCCCTCTTCCCAACACCCTCCCACTCCCCCCCTCCCTCTCCTCCTCCCTCTTTGTCCCTAAGGGCAGTCAGGGTTTCCAGCCCTGTGGGAAGTTCAAGTTCGTCCCCCCTCCCTCCAGGTCCAGGAAGGTGAGTATCCAAACTAGTTTCTACAGGCTTCCTTGTTGCTGTTAACTTTATTTCTCCAAAGATGAACAAACTCTCCATTAGTTCTTTAAAAAGTAGGTGTTTCCCTAAGGAGGCAATGGAAATGTAGCAATTATATCTGACTTTAATTTAGACTCAAGATGTCACTGTTATCCTATGGGACCCTTTCTGTCTTTTGTAAAATTAGAGTTCATATCAAATTCTCAAGAGCTGCAGGCAAAAGTTTATTGGATATCTAACCTTCTTTTTTCTGAGATGGCAAGCTTCTGACCCCCCACTGTGGATCATTTTGTCACTTAGAGACCCTATTTATTAAACTGTCTTCCATTACTTCTAGAAAGAAAGAGAGGAACCTTCTCATGCCTTGAAGTTGAAGGTATCTGCATTTATCAGCTAAGGTGCATGGCCAAGCAGGAGGAGAATTTGCCCTCAGTAGTATGAGTGTGTGTTTGATTGTGTATGTGCATTGTGTCCTTCAGTCCCTAGGCTCTACTTCTCCACACTACACTCTTATGTGCAGTTGTTTATCATGAATAGAGTTTCTATCTGAAGTTTGAGAGGAGAGGATAGCACAGTAGTTTCACGTAGAACAATTAATTTAAATCTCATCCAGTACCTAATCCAGAAGAAGGAGATACACAGTTTCTTTGTCTTTAACCTTTATCATCATGTTATGATTCATATAAATTTTGTGTCAAATCTCTGTACCTGTATCCAACTCGATTGACACACTCAGATGTATGCAGTGAGTGCATTATATCTAAACTACAGCAGCAACCCCCGTTCGGCCCCCTCTGATACCTGGTTTTGCTGTAATCCCACTTTACTCACTATACAGTATAATGTTGAAAGCTTTCATCTACTTCTTTACCCAAATCTTTCCTTGCATATAATAATGTTTTAGATGGAGAATTGAAACTTTCTACTGTAGCATAAATGGCCTTATATAACGCTACTCTTCAGTAATATTCTGACTGACTGAACTTTGGTTACCACACTGAGCCACCAGTTTATTTTCTACAAGCTTTCCATAACCATCAGTAAAAATTTCCACCACTCAGCATCCTTGGATATGCCAGACTGACTGTAGTCTTGATTTTCCTCTATTCCCCTAATGCCAGAAACTTGCCCTCTCCTAACACTGAACTATCAGGATTTCATTCACAGAACATAGAAGAATGGCTTTCCTTACCAGCTTCAACCTTTTGTGTTTGGCTGTCTATCAAAAACATAAATATATATATAGAGAGAGACCCTATAATTCTACTTCTGAAAATTCATCATATGTTTATACCTATATCTCATCTATCTATCTATCTATCTATCTATCTATCTATCTATCTATCTATCATCTATCTATATGTACATATTTATGTAAATGGCATTGGATAATGCTATTTATCATAATACTGGAAATGGTAAAAATCATTTAACTCTGGGTCCAAACATAGATAATAAATTTTTCATTATTAAAGATTGATTATTATAAACAGTTATGGTTGCAATAACTGACTGAATAAATTAACCTCTGGCAGTAAAATACCATTAGAATATTTAAGAGTTTGGACTGGACATTGTAGAGAATTTAAAGATAATTTCAACAAAGATAGAATAATTGAAACAGTATGAGCAATTTTAATCCCATCTCCAATTCTGATAAGTTCAAACTTGAGACTGGTTCTCAGCTTTCAAACACAAAAGCATTCAAATTGATTTTATTTATAAAACAATGATCTGTGGTTTCATAGTGATACCAGTATGTTTTATTTACTATTACTTTGTGATTGTTCACATGAATAGTTCTAATTTAAACTGATAATGAGGGGAACAACAATAAATGCAATGTTAGAAATACAATCAAGGAAACTGTCATATGAGAGTCATTAGCAAAATAAATCCAGATTCAGACCAATGCCAATGAAGAATGATATTGGATTACATAAGACAGAGACCAAGTCCTTCCTTGGCAGATTGCAGATGTAGCTAGAGATGTTAAGTCTTAAAAATCTAAAAAAAATAAAATTAGGAATTGTAGGAATTGGTTGAGAGAGCACACAAGAGAACTTGAAAGAGATCAAGACTATATATATATATATATATTCCATGTATATATATATACATATATATATATTCCATGAAAACTGCTTTAGAAAGAGAGAGATAAAACTGGTGAAGTGGGAATGGGATAGATGTGAAGGGGAGGTAGAAACTATGTCATTTGATATTTCTTGTTATTGATATAGATCTGTCTCTTTAAGTCTCTCAACCATATATTACAGATTCATAGATGATTCCTGGGTTCTTTCTGTGTCAATATCCACATATAAAACATTAGTTAATATATTTTTTGAGCTTCAAAGAGAGTCAAGAGACTAGTGAACTATTATATATAATTGACTAGCTTTGCTACCATTAGATGACTGATCTCAACTTTCTTCCCATTCGCAATCTCAAAATTCTTTTATGAATTCTGAGACTTCTCAAAGTTGACTTTTCTTAGTTGATAATTGTTGTTATTTGTAAGTTCCTCATAAATATGATGAGCTGGTTTCTAAGTCTCCAATCTCCTATCAGTGTTTAAAAGTTGGAAAGTTTTAGATCAGTTTATACACCAATTACAAACATTATGCCTTGATCATTGTTTCCCATTCTCAAATTTCTTTATCTTTCTCATTTCCAGAAGAAGATGAGGATCACAAGAAATCAGAGCAGTGCATCTGAGTTCATCCTCCTGGGACTCCCCATCCACCCGGAGGACCAAGGCATGTACTCTGCCCTGTTCCTGGTCATGTACCTGACCACAGTGCTGGGGAACTTGCTCATCATCCTGCTCATCAGGCTGGACTCTCACCTCCATACCCCCATGTACTTCTTCCTCAGCCACTTGGCCTTCACAGACATCTCTTTCTCATCAGTCACAGCTCCAAAGACGCTCATGAATATGCTGACACACAGTCAGTCTATCTCATATACTGCGTGCATTTCCCAGGTGTATTTTTTCTTGATGTTTGGGGCTATTGACAACTTCCTTCTGACCTCCATGGCCTACGACAGGTATGTCGCCATCTGCCATCCTCTCTACTATATGAGAATCATGAGTCAGAGTATTTGTATGTTATTAGTCATTACATCCTGGTTCTTATCCTGTGCTGCTACCTTTGTGCATACCATTCTTCTAGCTCGTCTCTCTTTCTTTAAAGGCAATACTCTCCACCACTTCTTCTGTGATCTCTCTGCTTTAATTAAGCTCTCTAGCTCGGACACCTCTATCAATGAGCTGGTCATCCTCACTCTGGGATCACTGGTCATTGCTGTGCCATTCATATGCATCCTGGTCTCTTACGTCTGCATTGGGGCCACCATCCTGAGAACTCCCTCAATCAAAGGAATCCGTAAAGCATTGTCTACATGTGGTTCTCACCTCTCTGTGGTTTCTCTCTATTATGGAACCATTATAGGGCAATATTTAGTTCCCTCATCTAAGAACACTAATGACAAGGATGTCATTGTGGCTGTGCTATACACTCTGGTCACACCCATGCTGAATCCCTTTATTTACAGCCTGAGGAATCAGGATATGAAAGGAGTGCTAAGAAATATACTCATCAAGAGAATGTATTCAAAATGATGTGAGTGGCCTTCTGTCATTATGTATTTGAGATTTTCTCAGCCCACATATGACTCTTTCTTTGATTTGGCATTTCTCCCAGTTGCATTGTTTCAGCCTCAATTCCCTTAGGTACAGGTCTTATTTCTGTTTAATTGTCTTTTTTAATTTGGGGAAAGTTTTTTTTTTTCAGATACTCCTGTGCTATTTTTCTTTTCATGTCTTCCTACCTTTAGGAGCATAAATATTTTTATATTATTCCAGTCATTTACCTTTTATCATTATTTTATTTAATGTCCCTTTTTGAAATATTTTTTCCTTTCTCGAGAAAACAGAAATACTTTTCCTATATATTCATTGCTTCATTTTATTTTTAATTTTATAATGTATTTTAATTTTATTGTCATGAGTAACAACAATTGGAAATCTACCTTGTTTCTATTTTTTATTTTTAAAAATTGGTAAAAATTAATATATAATGCTGTTACTCTGAAAATTAGCACTTACCTTTTTCTCCCTTCAAAAACAATTGACTTGGTGACAAATTGAAATGTCTTTTCTGTAAAGTACTGTAAAATGGCTAATGATGGAATGGCCACAGTTATAAGATATGTGCTGAGACCTGACTAAAGCAGTGCAGGTGCTCAGCAGGTCCAGTGGGTAGGATGTGTAGAGTAGGAGGGATGGAATGACTTTGTAATGAAAAATGGTGGTGTTATGACTATGACTAATCCATAGAATTCAGTTTACTTCTCAAAGTTTATTTCTACATTATTAACCTCTAAAATACATAGATTTGTTCATGCACACATACGATTTATTGTTTTTGAGGATGCTGCAACAATACTAGAGAGTGGGTTCAGAAATCATAGAAATTCAATTAAACACAGTTTTGTATCTCAAAGTCTATGAATATATGGTTTCTTGAGAGATTGCAAATGTCAATAACTGCCTTCTTTTTATATTTTCATGTAATAGAAAACAGAAGGGCACAAAGATGGAGAGAAAGGCAGACACACAGATAGAGAGAGAAAGCCATCTTTTTTATTAACATATTTTTATTGATTTGGGGGAATTTTACATTATGTATCCTGATCCCACTTATTACCCAATCTTTTCATGTTCACCCTCCATCCTTACAGTCTATCCTTTAAAATAATGATGATGATGATGATGATAATAATAATAATAATAATAATAATAATATGAACCCACATTCACTCCTCAGTCTTTCCCACCTCTCCATTACATGTTCATTTGCTGTAGTGGCCCTGGGAACTGAAATATGTCATGCATTATACCCTTTCGGTCAAACAGCTTTACCTTCAAATGTTCATTGCAATTAGTTGTTGATGTGGTTCAAGGCCTCTGGCTTCTGGCACACCATCAGCACTGGATCCTCATAGAAACTTCTCTCAGGTATTCTGCTGTTGCTCAAGTTATTGAGATCCTGCAGCAGTGTTTTGCAGCACCACCCCCTTTATATGTTCCAGCAGGTTACAGATGGAATAGATGTTGAAGTGGGCCAACTCAAAGATCTGGATATAGGCCTGGGTGGCAGTTTAGTTGCTCAGTCTGGGCCTTAACCAAGATTGCCCTCCTCAGGAAGAAATTGAAGCCAAATCTCCTGCACCCACACCATACGGGCCAGTTCTACCTCAAGGTAATCTATGTGCAGGGCCTGCTTTCCTGTTGCTTGGATGGGGTGGGGTAAGGTGGGAGCAGCTCCTTTTATGACATCAGGTTTAGAAACAGCTTTCTTGTGCCAATGCCAGTGGGGCTAGTTCCCCTAGAAATGGGAAATCACTAACCTGCTGAGGCAGCCAGTGAAGTAAAGATCTAACTCAGTGGTTATTGACAGGGTTCTCTCTTGCCCAGTCTTGTAGCTGTTCAGTCCCAAAGAAACACACAGAGGTTTACATTAATTATAATCTGGCTGACTTATTAGCTCAGGATTCTTATTAACTAATTCTTACATCTTAAATTAGTCCATAATTCTTATCTGTGTTAACCACATGACTTGGTACCTTCTATCAGTGAGGCCTTCTCACCCTGCTTCCTCTGTGTCTGGATGAAGACAACAGACTGCATCTTTCCTCTTCCCACAATTCTCCTCTTCTCAATGCCCCACCTATGCTTCCCACCTGACTACTAGCCAATCAGCATTTTATTAAAACAATACAATATAAGTGACAGGGTACAAGATCATTGCCCCACAGCAACTTGTGCCTAAGTCAAAAGAGCCAGCTTTTCCAGGTCCCCTAGTTGTAACACAGACTATAGACATATGTGGTCATGAGCCGCATATGGCCTTCAGTTGCAACTGGGGATGTCAGCATGAGCTCTAATAACAGCACAGGTCACTCAGATTGGTATGGCCTGGTGGCAACAATGCCTTCAGAAATCAAATGTCCCCAGGTGTGAGCTTAGGACACCATTTTCATCCTGTTTCCTGCTATTGTGATCATATCATCAATTCTGCTTCTCTCCACTATAATGGTATATTATTTATGTTTTAATAAATAAAGTTTGCCTGAATATCAGCGCAAAGCATCCATACTAGTCAGCCATAGAGACCAGGCAGTAGTAGTGAATGCCTTTAATCTGATCACGAGAGAAGAACATGACATGGAAGGAGACAAGTTTCATGCTCAACTTCAGTCTGAGGATTTGTGGAGGCAGGATTGTCCATTTTTGTTCTGAGGTAGAGGTAAGAGCCAGTGGCTGGCTACTCTGCTTTTCTGATCTTCAGGTTGAACTCCAATATCTGTCTCTGTGTTTTTATTATTCATGATACATTTGGTGCCCAACATTTGGGATACCAATTTATGAAAAAGCCATTTGCCTGTGGCTTTACAGCCATTGACATAGGTCAAACCTACATGTTGCCAGAGTCTCTGCCCTACTGGTAAGGTTTTTCTTTTTTCCGTCCTTGGTGGGCTCACCCTGAACTTCTCATGCTGCTGCCAAATTAGGTAGCTTCCTTGAAATCCAGACAGCAATAAGTCTTGCATCTTAATCAATATTGGTGACAGATTTTGTAAGACAAATAACAATTCCAAGAAATTTTTTTTCTCACATTAAAGAATGGGAAACATCATTACACAAGAGGGATTTATGTCCTTGTATAATAATATACTGCACAATTTGAAACTGGATTGATTAAATGAGAGACTAGTTTAGATGGGATTTATGTAATTATCAGCATTATCATTTTTGTTTTATCACTAAAGAAGTTGGTTATCTGAGTGCTAAGATATAACCCTTAGAAAAATTTAATGCAATAGATCATAGAGATAGTCAGATCTAGGCAGGGAAATTTAATGGAGAACAATTTTCAGTATTGCATTCTAAAAACAGAGAGGAAAAGCCTAAAGTTTTCAAACAGCCAATGTTAATATGTCCAGTAACTGTAAGAAATTGCCAAATAATAGAGTTAAAGCTGAAGGCACTCCTGTGCCAATGTCGTATTTAAGGAGACTCAAAGAAGCAATAGTCTCACATGGCATTCATTTACCTTTTGTAAAAAAAATGTTAAACTCATGGTCAGTTTGTAATATTCCTAAAGACTGGATAGACTTGGATAAAACTCTTTCATATCCTGGTTCATAATTGCAAAGGAGCACCTAGTTTAGAGAAGAGGCTAAGTCTATTGAGCAATGGAGTAAAGCTAGAGGTATAGAAGTCTTCTGAGATCAAATTCTTGGAGAAGGAAATTGTGCTACTGTAAAAAGTCAATACCTATATGAGGGTAACAGCCTGTTTTTATGCCATGCAGCAACTTTGAATGTTTGGGACAGAAGTAAAGAATTAACAAAGAAGATTGAATCATAAACTAAAGTCACACAGGGAACCAAAGAAACCTTCACAGAATTCTTTCAAAGAATGACATCAGCAGTAAGCAGAATGATACCAAATTCCAAAGCTAGACAAATAATTAAAATTCTAGCTTTCAAAAATGCCTATTCTCTATAAAAAAGAATAGTCAGTTATAAGCAAGGTCAGTACTTTGGAGGAATGGATTCAAGATACAATTAAACTTGAATCTCATGACCATGATGATGCTTGGAAAGGAGAAGTGATTTCCAGTGGTTTGAGGAAAAATGGAAATGTCAAACACCATAATTGTGGCAAATAAGGTCACCTTAAATGGGACTGTACATAAATAGTTCCTAGAAACAATGGTTTTTTCCTAAAATTAATCCATTCAGAATGCCCCTCCCTTCTAGATTATGCAGAAGGTGTGGCAAAGGCAGGCATTGGACTAATGAATGAAGGTCAGCAAGGAATATTCAACGTTCTTTACTATTGGGGAAATTCTAGGAGGAACTTCCCACAGGCTCCTATTTCTAATAAAGTTCAGTTGTTTCTTGCCATCAAAGAGGAACTCCTTCCCAGATCAATTAACAAGCCTAATATCTGTTGCAAGAAATCATACTGCTCTTGATAAATGAACAGTTATAAAAGAGAGAGAAAAAACATAAGGAGAAAATACATTGTGACTAATTTGGCAAACTTATATAAATGAATAAAGGCCAAAATTAAAAATAAATAATGTTTTTATTGAAAGTCAGGTAGACATGGGTGCATATATAACAATAATTTCATCAGAATCTTGGCCTCCAAATTGACCTTGTCAGGATGCAAATGTTCAGTTTTAGGGATCAGAACTTTATCTCATGTAAAAAAAAAGAGTATGAGATGGGTCAAATTTATAAGGTCAGAAGGACAGAGAGGAATATTAAAACCATATGAGGCTAACATTACAATTAATTTGTAGGGATGTGATTAGTTATAGAATTTTAATTCAGATAAATATTTCTACAATCTTAGAAATAAGCCAGAAATTAATGTATATTTTGGGGTAAAATACTACAAGATATTATAAAGAACAATTACCAAAGATTCAGGTGGTCCAAGAACAGGGCAAAACAGTTGTTGATATTTCAAAGGCACCAACAGCCCTACCTTTAAAATGGTTGACAGACAAACCTGTATGGGTTAAACAATGGTGTTTAACA